TACTGAAACTCACTCTCTTCCTTGTCAACCTCCCAAATCCTGGGATTACAGTCACGTATCACTGTGCCCAGTTTAAGTTCTTATTTGGTTGAGTCTACATATGGACCACAGTAGTACTACATTCTGTCTGAGTTAACCTATGCAGAAAATCCTAAACTGTAATTTCTCTTTAGGAAAATTTACATCATATGCCAAATTTCCATATTTCATTTGGAAGTAAAATACCACCAAGAAAGGAATAAATAGGGTAATGTTCATAATACATTAACTCAGTCATTCTCCGATATTTTACGAAGGTTATGAACAACACATATTATATGTATGCATGCGGTGCATATGCAGTTAATGCTTATGTGAAGCAGGCATTTTTGATATGCTACTTATGGTCTGTATTAGGAAAAATTTCAAGTATATATAAAAATACAGAAAATGACATATGAGACCCCATTTATCCTTTAACCAACTTGGTAATTATTAGCTCTAGCCAGTGTTACTGGGTCCCCTCGCATACTGTCTCTACTTCCTGACCAATTTTAAATCAAACCTTAGACATTATTACCCATAGTTATGTTTCTATCTCCAAAGAAAAGAAATCTTAAGTATATGACTACTGTAATATTCTATGTATTTCCATTTTCCTCTCTTACCTCCTAGTCTCAAATTTTAGAAAGCAGTTCTTTAAAGTATACTGCCTTTTTCTTGTGCTAGTGTCTAAGGAGAAGAAATTATAGAGAGATCAAATGAATTTTAAAAACATCTTGCTTCAGCATATCATATTGTATATCCTGAACTTGTGTAGTTTTTACTTGTCACTTAAAATGCTTTGCCTATGATATGAAATATGAAAAGAATATGTGCACTTCTAATTTTGGGGGGAGCAAGTCATGCTTTTGTCTTCCTTTCTAAAAAGGATGAAGCAAACCCATTCTCTCCCTTCCCTCTTCCCCCGCAGGCTAAAGCAATTTTGCTTCTTTCTCTGCTCTCCCTGCCAGCCCCGCACCCCGCACCCCGCACCCCGCACCCCGCACCCGGCACCCCGCACCCCGCACCCCGCACCCCGCCCCCCCACACACACACACCAGGCTAAGGCCTCTTCCCTTGATTGCTGCAGTGCTTCCCCGTGGCCCTGTGGTCTGTTGTCAGTTAGTAGCCAGCCAGAGAGATCTCACATGTTAGTCCTGCCTGTAATACCTCTGTTTGCAGCCTCCCCAGGGCTCTGCTTACCTTCTTTTCATCTGTGTCCTAGCCTGTTCTCCAGATTACTTCTCACTCCCCATATACTTTCTTTTTCTAATAAAGTTTTTTTTTATTAATTCTTGGAGAATTTCATACAATATATTTTGCTCAAAGTCATTCCCTTAACTCCTCCCAGATCCTCCCTACCCACCAACTTTCAGAGCATGCATTCATATTTCCTCCCTCTTCCCTCATCCTCTCCCTCTTTGCTCTCTCTTTCTCTCCTTCCTTTTCTTTTTCTCCCTCTGAAGAAATGGGTGAGGCCAATTTGTGTTGGCTGACTGCTCCTGGGTTTAAAGGCCTTCCCCAGAGCAAGGCCAGTACACCAGGTGTCACACCATGGAATCAAACCTATTTTCCCTCCCTTGGCAACAATCAAATGCAGATGGCTCTTTAGGGAAGGGTGTGAATTCATGTCTAACTCACCTCCTCCATACTGAGATTCTGTTTTCTCTAGCTTGATCTCATGCAGGTCTTGTATTTATATTTTCACAGTTGCTATGAATTTGTATGTATATCTGCCTTGTTGTATCTGGAAAAGTTTATTTGAAGTCATCTAACACCTCTGGCTCTTAAAATCTGTCCAACCTCTTATACTTAGATCCTTGAACCTTGAGAGGAAAGGTTTTATACAGACATCCAGTCAGGGCTGAACACTCTGAAGTCTTTTGTTCTCTACATGTTTACCACTTTTGGGTCTCTGTGCTAATTGCTGTATATTGCAAGAAGAAGCCTCTCAGTTGGGGGGTGGGAGGACAGGGATTCATGGATATGGCTACAAGTCATTAAGAGTCATTTATTGGCATGTCCATTTAGCAGGTTAGTAGTAGGTTTTCCCCTCGGGCTCATGATCTATCAAGCCACAGGTTCTTGGCCTCACTAAGAGTGTCTCATATCTCATGGAGCAGGCTTTAAAGCTAATCCAGTAGGTTACTCCCAGAACAGTCACAGTACTGTTGCACCAGTGGGCATATCTTGCCATGCAGGTTGTGACTGTAGTTCTCAGTGTTCCTAGCTGGATGGGACTGTTGATTACTTTTCTCTTCTGGTAGTGTGCAGCACTATGAACTCTCGTTTCCAGTTGAGTGCCAGCTGAACATATACATGTTTTATAACTCAAGTTTATGGTATTTTCAGCAGTAGGTTTTACTGTCAAGTTCTTGGGAGTAACAAATAGCATTGGCAATAGCCTGTAATTGCAGGAGGTGGTTGACAACTCAGAAAGGTAACTCATTCTAGTACTAGGAGCTTCACTTAGTAATGGGTGCCATCTAGTTGGGATTATTGTTCAGTCACTATAGAGTCACTTTAAACTACTTCTAGTCAGTTTAAACTAGAAGCTTCCACAATGATAGGTTTCTATGTGACTTTTTCAAAAGTCCTTCCGGGTCAGTTATTTCTCCCTATATTCCCTCTTCCACCCTGTCTTTCCATCCCTCAAGCCATTTCATCTTTCCTGTTCTATTTCCCCCTTCCCCTTTCTCATTTTATAATACTGTATTTTTTTTCTTCCTTGATAAAGCCCCCCCCCCATGTCTGCTGACCTCCATGTGCATACCATGGCATGCTGACACCCTCCCCAATGGGAATACACAAAGTAAAAATAAAATGAATTTCAAAGACTTTTAATAAATATTTATAGCTATAGATGATGGTTTTTCTTTTCTAGCTATGACTATAGTTATTTGAGTTATTTATGTTCTATTTTTTTTTTTTTTTGAGACAGTTTCTCCATGTGGCCCTGGATGTCCCAGAACCACTTCCTAATGTTGCCTTCCTCATGCTGTGGTGACCACCAGCCATAAAATTATTTTCACTGCTACTTCATAACTGCAATTTTGCTACTGTTATGTAACATAATGCAAAAATCTGTGTTTTCCAATGGTCTCAGGTGACTCCTGTGAATGGGTTGTTCAGCCCCCGAAGTGGATTTGGCCCACAGGTTGAGAACCACTGTTCTAGAGCCTCTTCTTCTCCCTGCCCCCCTAAACTTTAAGTTCTTTAATGCAGATTTAAAGGGAGTTGATACACTAGTTCCTTGCCAATCTTAATTAACGTTTTGGTCCCCAGTTGGTGGAACTGTTTGTAGGAGGTGTGGCCCAGAGCAGGTGTGTCACTGGGGGGCCTGGCTTCGAAGTTTAAAATGCACACTTCATTCCCAGTTAGCACTCTCTCTCTTTCTGCTCCCAACCTGCAGACAAGACTGAGCTCTCAGCTTTCTGCCACTCTGCTTTTGCTCTGCCGTCATGGGCTCTAACCCTCTCAACAAGCTCCAAATGAAATACTTTCTTTTGAAAATTACCTTCCTTGGCCACACTGTCTTACCAAAACTATAGATAAGTAACTAAGACTCTCTGCTAAGATTATTTTACTACTGTGTTTGCAGGGATGGTATGCTAATTGCTTTTCATTGCTGTGATAAACACCATGACCAAAAGCAACTTGGCAAGAAAAGAGCTTACTTTATCTTAGGGTATATAGCCCATCGTTTATGAAGGGAAGTCATGGCAGGAAGCTCGTGGCAGGAACTGAGTCAGAGGCCATGGAGGAACCTGTGATACTTACTGGCTTACTCCCTGTGGGTTGCTCTCAATCTCTCACACTGGGACATCAATAATTTATCCAGAAAATAAATAGACTTACCTACAGGTCAGTCTGATGGAGGCATTTTGTTAGATGAGTTTCCCTCCTCCCAGTTTGTGCCAAGTCAACAAAACGCAAACCAACACAGATAGTCTTCTGAATTTGAAGGCAGAGTATCTGTTCCTCAAGAAATATTGTAAACATATTTCTATCTATATTCCAGGAAATCCTACCTGTTAACTAGTATAAAGTTGGGTGGCATAATCCATCACATGAATCGTAGTCTTTTGAGAGTAAAACTTTTTGAAACTAAGTTGATCTCTGGGTATAGAAGAGGCTAAAAATAATTTATCAGGCTATCAGGCATGGTAGTCAAATTAGCTAGACATATTTCTCTTTCTGTCAGTAAGAATCTGTCACAGCAGAAAGCAAGGTACTCACAGGAATGAAAAGCAAGGAATGCAGTAAAGAAAGCTTCTATAGCTCTCATATCTGATTTTTTTTTTCTTGTAGCATATTTGAGAGTGTAAACTGTTTTTCCTTACTGAAGGTATGACTTGTAACACCCGGTTTTGGTGTTACACCCTTGGTACAGTTCGCGCGCTACTGGCAAGGCCTGGAGATTAAACAAAACACACAAAGAGGTCGGGGTCATTCTATAGGAGATCAAGTGAATGCCCTTTATTCAGACTGGGGAAAGTCCTTATCTAACTAACTGCGGCACTAGGACCCCCGCCCGTGACAGGTGGGAAATTACCATATCAACGTTGGAATGAATGCCCTGCAGCTAATCACCAGGTGGGGCAGGGGAAAATACAAGAACTTAACCAGGCGGGGCAGAACGCTAGTCCTCTGACTAGCAACTGTTTGTGCCTCTGGAATAAGGGCTGAATGCTAGGTCATGTTGACCAGAAATTGTCCTCGAGATGCGCCCCAGGAATAAGGGCAGACCAGGTCCCTACAATGACTTAGTTCATTTATTTCTAAACTAATAAACAGGTGTGCCTGTTCACCTTTGAAGAAAAGCACTGGTGGCTTAACTGTAGTACTTAAGGGGATTCAGCTGACGTGCAGTTTACAGCCAATAATATGTATAATCTGATCAGTTATTTAAACCAATAGTAAAATATTATATCAACCGGCCTGTTGACCAGTATTCTTTTTCTGTTGTTTGGTCTTAGGGTTTTGACCCACCACATCAAAGTGACACAAGAACTATTTACATAGCCAACAGATTTCCTCAGAATGGCCTTTACACACCTCAGAAATTTATAGATAACCGGATCATTTCATCTAAGGTAAGGATAAACAATTTTATTATAACACTGTAGATGTGGATCTGGGAATATATTCATAGCTCATTTGTTAGAATGCTTACCTGTCATTGTTCTGTGGTGTTTTACTCTTTTAGCTTTTTTTTTTTGGGGGGGGGGTACCATTCCAGCATTCAAATAAATCACTCACAGAGGCTTATTCTTAGTTATGAATGCCCAGCCTTAGCTTGAATTGTTTTTTGTCAGCTTGTCTTAACTTAAATTATCCTGACTACCTTTTGCCTCTGGGCTTTTTTATCCTTCTCTTACTTCTGTATTTTTCCTTTCACTCTTACTCCATAGCTGGCTCTAGAATCCTCCTTTCCTCCTTTTCTCATTCCTTGATTTCCCTTCTCCCAGATTTTTCCTTCTGTTTATTCTACCTGCCTACCAGCCCCGCCTCTCCTTTCTCCTGCCTCACTATTGGCCATCCAGCTCTTGATTAGACCATAAGGTGCTTTAAACAGGCAAAATAACAACTTCACAGAGTTAAACAAAGCAACATAAAAGGATGCAATGAATCTTTTCATCATTAAACAAATGTTCCCCAGCAAAAACAAATGTAGCACATCTTAAAATAATATTCTACAATGCTAATGCTTTTCCTCAAACACTGAGTTCATCTCTTCTTGGATGTTACCTTAGCTCAGAGTCCCTCTTCTCTGTCCTTTTCTCTCTGCTGTCACAGTGTGTCTGTGTATGTGATGATGCTAACATAGTAGATCATGCTCATCTATATTTTGAACATTTTATAGGTTTTAAAATAGCCTAATTTTTAAGTCTAATTTCTGTGTTTAAAATTTAATTTTAGTCATTTCCCTTTTCCCATTCCCCCCCCAACTCCTCTAACGCCCCACTCCCAGCTGTCACTCTGTCTCAAATTTATAACCCATTTTTCTTTGTTACTTTTACATGTATAAGTACAACCTGTTGAGTCCATTTAATGTTGCTTGTATGTTTGTGACTTCATGACTGACCCCTGGGGAAGACTAGTTCTACTGCTCTTAGCTTTCCTCAGTTACCTGCCTTTGTCTAGGTGAAAAGCCCACTGAGATTTCCTCCTTGTGTGTTAGCATGTTTGTTGGTGTTTTCTTTATTCTGATCTTGTTTAAGTATCTATACTGTTGAGGTATTTTGGGTCATATTTCCCTGTCAGTCTCACAACCGATTTCCTGGTTCTTTGGCTCTTACAGCCTTTTTACCCCCTGTTCTATGCTATTTTCTGAGTCTTAGATTCAGGAACTGTGTTATAGATATAGCCATTGGAACCGGGAACCCCATAATCAGCTTTCTGCAGTTTGACTAACTGTGGCTTTTTGCAGTGATCTCTGTCTATTGCAAAGAGAAGCTTCCTTGATGGTGGGTGAGAGCTATACTTATTCGTGGAAACAAAGAAAAGAATTTAGGATACAGTTAGGAATTATGTTGGTTTAGAGAAGTAGTAGTATTGTGTTCTCTAAGATCCATGACCTCTCTAACCCTGGGTAGGTTTTCAGTACCAGACACGACTTCTCTCCAATTGAGTGGGTCTTATGTCCAACTAGAGAGATGGTGGTTACTGATAAAATATGATTGCAACTGATATAGATATAAATATGGATTTACCACTGATGAAGATAAACTTTTAGGAGTATTATAATGTGGGTCATTGTTGTGACTAATAGGCATCACAGCTGGGTGGGACTACTGGTTGCTTCTCTCTGTTGGCAGCTTGTATAGCACCTTCCAATACTATGGAAGCTAGTCTTCTAGGAGGAGGCTTTCAGATCAGATCCTCTGAGTTCTGTTAAATTCTAGTATTTAAAATTCTCATCTGCTAGGACTTCACAGGTCTACATAAAACATTTTAGCTGCTGTTGGAAACTGAGAGTCCCCAAAAGTGCTGTGATTAAATAAGTGCTTTTATATGGCTGTTCTCTTTTGCAGCCATTTAGGTTTGATGTTTTTGACCAAAGTTTCAGAAGTATGTTTAAATAAGCACTCTCTTTAAAACATTTTAGCATAAGTCAAAGTCTCCTTATCTTGCTTCCCTACTGTTGTGTCTCAGTTGTTTCTGGAACCTCTTAACTGTATTGCTGGCTGTCTCAGCTCAGTGAACTCTGTTACCATTGAAGCTTGGCTGGATTTCTTGCTTCTATTGTGGCTTTTAAAATACAAAAATCTAACGACAAAAGGGTGTAGATTTGTCTTTAAAAATGTTGAGTTTGTGTCAGTTAAAAGTGTAGATGTTTGGTGACACTGTTCTCTCAAGCTTCAGTGAGGCTGGCATGATATACTTCTTGTTTTGAGTCCTGTATTGTTCTCTGAGACACTTTCTACAAATCCACAAGGACCTTTGCTGCTTTTTCTTTTGTGTCATATATTCATTTATGTATTTTATCTTTGACTACAACTGTTGATATTTAACTCTTAATCTCTTTATTTTACTTTTAAGCATCTTAGTGTATCTGATATGTTGGAGATGTATAATGATAAATCTTATTTGTTTGTTTGCTTTTTTTTTGGACAGGGTGTCAATATATAGTCCTATTTGTCCTGGATCTCACTGTGTAGACCAGACTGGCCTTGAACTCCCAGAAATGTGCCTACCTCTGAGAGCTGGGAAGCAGTGGTTCTCAACCTTCCTAGTGCTGCAAGCAACTCTTTAATACAGTTTTTCATGTTGTGGTGACCCCCAACCATAAAATTATTTTCTTGCTACTTCGTAACTATAATTTGCTACTGTTATGAATCATAATGTAGATATCTAATATGAAGGCTATCTTATATGAGACCCCTGTGAAAGGGTCAGTTGACCCCAAAGAGGTTGTAACCCACAGGTTGAGAACTGCTGGCCTAAAGGTATGCGCCTCTATGCCCAGCTTGGATAATGATATATCTTAATTCAGTGGCCATAGTTCCAGCATCCACACGACAGCTTTCAACGGTCTGTAATCCAGTGCTAGGGGACCTGATGCCTTCTGCACTCTGCGCATACCGGGCACATATGGTTGTCCACACATATATAAAAGACTCTTATACATAAAATTTTAAAACAATTTATTATTGTTATTTGTGTATGTCTCTGTGTGAATATAGGCATATGAGTGCAAGTGCCTGTGGAGACCAGAGGCTTCAGCTCTTAGAGCTGGATTTACAGGCAACTGTGAACCACCTGACTTTGGTGCTGAGAATTAATTCCTCAGAGCAGTATACACACTCTTAACTGTGTAACCTTCTGTCCATTCCCTTTAAAGGAACTATCTTGAAACCATTTGCCTACTGCCAATTTATATCATTGTTTACTTTACAGTTATAGGAGGAAAAATATTGTTAGTATCATAGTCTACATAGACATTTGAAAACACAGGGCATTGCCAACTTAATTCTTAGAAAGTTTTGTACATTCAATAAGGTGATCAAGAAATTTCTGTGGAGACACTCTGACCCCTATAGAACAGTTGCTTTTTACTCCAGCTGGGATTAACCAGAAGAGCCTGATTGATCAGGACTTAAATTATGCCTGGACTTTACTCAATCAGTAATGGACTTGCCAAAAGCTTGAGAACCCTGAGTTTGGATCTGTAGCACCCACATAAAGTAGAATTGAGTTGCACTTGCAATCCCAGTGCTGGGGAGTCAGACACAGGAGGATACATAGAACAGAGATTAAGTCTAAGCTTAGCCAACAAATGTTACAACTTTGAGTCACAGGATTTTTACTCTCATCCATCTGTGCTTTTGACCATTATACTCAGCTGTCTTGCTCTTAGGACTTTGTGGCAGTTTTGCGTCCTTCATAAATTGTTTTGGTGTTTATCCCATTGATTGCTTGTTGTTGTAGGAAGGAGCGGGCCGTGTCCTGCTGCCCAGCTAGCTTACCCCCCAAAATAACCACACAGAAAACTATTCATTTAAATCTCTGCCTAGCCATTAGCTCTAGCCTCTTATTGGCTAACTCTCACATCTTGATTCAACCCATTTCTAATAATCTGTATTTCACTATGAGGTCGTGGCTTACTGGGAAAGATTCAGCATGTCTGACCTGGTGGCTGGCTCCATGGCGGCAATCTCTGACCCTGCTTTCTTCCTCCCAGAATTCAGTTATGTCTACCCTGCCTACCTATGTTCTGCCCTATTAGGCCAAGCAGTTTTTTTTTTAATTAATTAACCAATGAAAGCAACACATAGATAGAAGAACCTCCTACACCAGCTTGTCTAATTATTTCACATTCTAGGTCATTTTTCTGTATTTCATGTAAAAAGAGAATAATTGACTAGGCCATTTCATTTGGTTCTGACACATAGTAAAATAAAATGCTTTTAGTTTTGTTAGCATTTCTGCCAATGCTTCTTCATCTTTTTTTATTTCACTTTTATGTAACCAAATCCAAAATGTATTGTTAAAATGTTATGACATTATCTCTAGTTTCTAAAAAAAAACCCAACAACTAGCCAGGCAGTGGTGGCGCATGCCTTTAAACTTAGCCCTCAGGAAGCAGAGGCAGGCAGATCTCTATGAGTTCAAGGCCATCCTGGTTCACAGAGCCAATTCCAGGATAGGTTCTAAAAGCTACAGAGAAACCCTGTCTCGAAAAACAAGACAAAACAAATCAAAAACTGGATGCAAAATTAAAGGGTTTCATATCTCCTTTTTAAAAGTATACTAAAATTACCAATAAATAAAAAGGGGGTAAAAGAAAGTAGCATAAAAGTCTTAAATTATAGAAACCAGATAGTTTTTTTAGCATCATGTTATATTAATTTGCCTAAAAGATTTGTAAATCCAATTATACTTTTCTTATAATTGCATCTATGTAGTACATACTGTTTTTGAATATTTATTGATTTCTCTTTTCTTTTTTCCCTAGTATACTGTATGGAATTTTGTTCCAAAAAATTTATTTGAACAATTCAGAAGAGTGGCAAACTTTTATTTTCTTATTATATTTTTGGTTCAGGTAAGTTTTATCACTTAGTGGATTACTTATAAACTCACTGCCTAAGCATATATTTTACAATAGGGAAAAATACATTGTATTTTTAGTTGTTTGACTGTGGGATTTATTTTTATCCTGTAACTTCACCATTCTATTCACTAATAAATTATCTAAATCAAATCTAGATTTCTAAAACATAGGCTATAAATCTTAGGATCAGTTTCATTTTGTTTCTTTACTAGTGTGCCATAGTACTGAAAACTCTAACCTAGTCAAGGAATAGTACTTGTGATTTTCAGACACCTGCCTTGGAGTATACATGTTTTGGCTGTTGCCATGTAGTGCGTCATTTGCACATGTCTGCCTGTGGAATTGTGATCATACAAGATTGTGTGTGTGTTTATTTAAATTTTATTTTAATCAGATATGGCATGAGTCTACAGTCACAGATACTCAAGAGTCTGAGGCAGATGAAGATTGCTTGTACCCAGAAGTCTGATGCTAATTTAACAACATAGCAAAACCTCACCCCAATAAATTGTATTTATATTTAAAATTTTTTTAATATTTCCCTCTCCCTTCATTTCTTTTTTTTTTTCCTTCGTCCATATGTGTGTTTGCATGCATGCCTAAGTGTTACAACTCTGATAGAAAGGTATCCTTGGCTTCAGTTGCCAAGGATACCTACAGCTCTAAAGGAGATGTAAGCCCTAAGCACACAATTGTCCAGGCCACAGGACACTGTTAACTGCCCTAACTGCTGGATCCAGCCCCCAACCCTACAGAGTAAAAAACCCAACCTCTGTACATGAAATCCCACCAGTCTCCACCCTGGAAAGCTCTACCATGAAAAGTTCCACCCCCTTCCCAAGAAACTATATAAGGCCCGTATCTTGTTCAGTAACTACTCCACTATTACTCTCCTGTACAGAGACAACCACTCTCATAATGTTTTGCCCTTCCAGTAAATCTCTTGTGTGAGCTTTGTTTTGCAGTATGACTTTGTGATATTCCTTGGCTCTCAGCTGCCAGCATACCTTTCCATTCTGAGCTGTAATGCTTACAATGTACCTTAGAGTCTTACTATGTAGCCTAGACTGGCTATGAGCTCACTATCTGTGTCTGCACTTCTGGAATTATAGATGTTTACTACCATAGTCAATCAATTATTCTTAATTCCTTTTTTTCTTAATTCTTAAGTATTTACAAGAGTACTTTTCTGGGCTTAATTACAAGTTTTTCATAAACTGTTCAGTAGCTTCTTAATCTAAATATTTTTGCTTTTCTTTTCATATGTATGTATACATATATAATTCAAAATGTAAATTGAAACTCAAGTGTAAGTCAATTTTTAAATATTGTGATTATCACTTCCTTACAGTTATTATTTTCTGATAAAACCTTAGAATTTTTCTTCAATGTTAAAAGTTTGTTTTTGCTCTAAACTGGTCTATCAGTAGAACCTAGAATTTCAAAAGAAAAGTTAAAATTACTCAGGTAACCATTTTAAAGCTTTAGGAAACATTTAGTTTAAAATGCTTTTCTTTGTGAATGGAGAAGGAACTTTTAATTTTATATCACTAGAGCATCTAGTGGTTTTCTTGGGAAAATGAAACTATGCTAACTATTTTCACATTCCATGTATGCAGTTTTCAAATTGCTAAGATCAACATGTATATAGATTAGAGCAAATTCAATCAGCCAATTCAAAGTCAAGGGAAATTAATAAATCATAAGATTTGTGTTCTTACTAACCTGTGTAATTACTGTAAGTATTCTTCAGCAACTTGTAGAGACTTCATTATGTGATTACATCATAATTGCAGCACCATTTTCCTAGCTCTTGTCTTCTGATTCATCTGGGTATAACAAAATCACTTGTAGGAACAATCATTTTCCATATTCCACTTCTAGTTCTCTTTTCTAGGGTCCATTTATCCTAAATCTTGGGTTAAAATTGCAAACAGACTTTTCAGCATATAGTATGATGTACAAAGAAATATGAAAAGAAGAAAGACCCATCATAGGCAAACATTGAAGATCTTAAGAACTGTTAAAGCAATGTGCCTACACATGGTGGTACATGATTATATCCCAGCACTTGAGCATCAAAGACAAGAGGATCAACAGTAGTTCAGATTTGCAGGGATGCATATAGCAAAATCCTGTCTCAAAAATCAAAACAACAGTAAAGCAGAGTAACTGAGGTCAGTGTAGCAGTATATGAGAATGTATGGTTGAAAGACTTTACCACACCTGTGAAGTAGTCAAGAGAGCAAAGTTGTAAACCAAACTATATACATTGTACAATAGTATGATATATTAGCTATATCATGTGTAATATAAATATGCAATGTTCTTCATTCTTTCTCTAAATCTAGCTTATGATTGACACACCTACTAGTCCAATTACCAGTGGACTCCCATTATTCTTTGTGATAACAGTAACTGCCATAAAACAGGTATGTAATACTTCTTGCCTTTGTTCTTCCAAAATTCATTCAGAAACCTTAAGTAGTCCCACTCCAAATTAACATTATTGTGAAAACAATTTATACAACAAAGCATCAGATTTATTTAGTACATAAAAATTATACTTCAGGTACCTTGTGACCCATGAATGATTGCAGTATTTAAAATATATTATTGTCTTGACATAGGTATCAATCTAAAAATACACACACACATATATATGTGTGTGTGTGTGTGTGTGTATTTTTAAATTAGCCTATATATAGGCTAATCTATATACTTCTTATATATATATAGGCTAATTTAAGAAGTAAATTAGTATAATCATTTTGTGATTTTAGTGAAGTTTAAAAAGTATAGTTCAAAGGAAGTAAGTTTATAGAATGGAACATTTGTTTTTGACAGGAACTTCCCTAAATTTTACGGTTTTCCTTGATAATTATTTTTTGTGTGTCCTAGTACCCTAATGGAAATAATTTCAACCAGATTATAAATTGACATTAAGATTTAGAAAAATAAAAATAGAATATTGGATCAACATGCTAATTAAGAAATAAATCCCTTGAAATGTCAAATTGATATTGCTATCACTTCTCAAAAACATCTAGCCATGGTCTCGTGATACAGAAATGATTTCCTTCTACTAGACAGAGAGTTCATTATGTTGTCTTACCTAAATCTTCTGTTTTATAATATTTAAGGATAACATGTTGAGTGATGGAGAAATAAAATTAACAAGTAATTTGCGGTTCTGGGATGAAGTGTATTACTTAATTACCTTTACTTTTCTCTATCTGTTTATATAAAATTAAGTACATTGTGTGTGTGTGTGTGTGTGCCATAATTTGCTGGTGAAGGCCAGAGGACAACTCATGGGAGTCAATTCTTTCTCCTACCACCATGTAGATCCCAAGTACTGAACCTAAGTCATCAGGCTTAGTAGCAGGTGTCTTTACCTCTTGAGCTATTCCACCAACACTATTTTATTTTTGTTGAAAATAGAGGATAAGTGTCTATAGATTATCAATTATGTCATATAACTAGTATGTCAGAATAGTAGCCTTAGCTCTCATCAAATTTGATTTCTCTTTCTTTTTCTCCTATTGGAGACTAAGATTTGTTTGTGTTATTCAGTAAACATCTGAATCACTTCAGTTACATATTTTCTTAGTTTTACAAGTGTCATTTATTTAATCAGAGTAACATACATTTGTCTTGTATATTTTCACTAGGTGATTTCTGGTCAGTCTCTATGTTGATGTTCTCAAGTTTACAACCTAAAACTATTAGAATCATATAATCACACACACACACACACACACTCTCTCTCTCTCTCTCTCTCTCTCTCTCTCTCTCTCTTTCTCTCTCTCTCTCTCTCTCATTTGTATACTTCCATTTGAAACCTCACAAGAATCTTACATAGAACTGTTTTCCCCTGTGAAGCCATTCTGCTCCTACTGCTCCCTAGCTTATTAATGGTTCTACAGTTCTCTGACTGCTTCTACCTCTGCTTTTAAAATGTACCTAATTAGTTTAAATAACCAGCATCCCTTTCCTAGACCACTGTGTTATTCTCTCAATAATCTTTTACTTCTACTCTTAACCTCCCTGTTTCTTGTAGTAGCTGAATTGAGCTCTTATCTTAACATTGGATCATGCTACCCTTCTGTTTAAAGCTGTAGAGGGAATTCTCTTCAAATGCCAGTGTCTTTAGTCATTAATGGAGACATACACAGTGTAGTTCCTGCTTCCTACATTTTTTTTTTACTGCTACTCTGTCTTTGACCACACTCCTCACCTCGTCATCAAACACAGAAAGCATGCTTCTATTACACAGCTTTATGACTTGTCATCTACCTTTCTTGAAAGGTTCTTCCACATAATTGCATAACTCAGCCCCTGATTTTTTTCAAATATTAAGCTTTGACTGTTCCTGGCTATTTACCTTCCTCCATTTCCTTTTTAAATATTCTCTGTTCATATCATTTGTCATGAACTTGTCTTCTGTTATTTTTTGTTCAGATGTTTAGCACAGCTAGGGCAGAGACTGCCTTGTGTTTTCAGTGACTGATAGACCAAAGCCATTCATGTGTGGGGACTTTGATAAACATTTGCTGAATAAATGAATGAATAATCCTGTTGAATACTTACTAAAGCAAAGGAAAATATAGTAATTTTGATTCTTAACTCTCAATAAATATTTGGCCAACTGTGGACTGCATTCAAATAGAAAATGATACCATTAACTAAGTTGAAAACATTTTGATGGGTGCATCTTTGTAAAATTAGTTTAGTAATGATAATTGACCACATTTCACTTTCCAAAATTGGTTAAAAATATATATAATCTAAAGGGAGGAAGCAAATACTTCACACTTCTGTTAATATGGTTGCTACAGATGAGTACTAAGTTTAAATAAAAGCCAGACAGTAAAGACAAAGGGGGTAAAATGCAAATGTTCAAAGAGAATATTTGTTCTGATATAATTCATTCATTTTCTTTTCTCTATTGGTCTTTCTAGATTTCAGAAACCTATGTTTACTCATATAATAAGAGTTTCTAAGTTTTACTCATTTAATAAACACACAGGTGCATTCATATATTGTTCAACTTTATGTATCTATCACTATGGATCTATTGGACAAAATTTGGAGAAATTATCCAAGTAAATGTTTACTTATTCTCTTTAATCTGGTTTGTAAGGAAAATGCTCTATTACGACTTACCAAATTTAATTTTTTCCAACTGTATTGTATATTGTGTCTTTTCTAATCATGTATTGTGAGATACATTGTGTAGCTTGAATTCTAATTGGTCTTAATAATAAAAACCTAGAGTCAGATAATGGAGTAAATGCTGAAAGATCAGAGAAGTAAAAGAGCCAGCCACTAGAGGGACTTTTTACCTCTACGAAATCCTAGGATCAAAGTGGGAAAGATCCTGTCTACATGAATCATCAGACTAAATGGGCTAAGCTCCTGTCTCTTCCTACCTTATATTTGTCTCTCTGCCTAGACATATTTCTTCCTTCTCCACCTCCTCTAGTGCTGGGATTAAAGACCTGTGACTCTCAAGTACTAGGATTAATGGTGTGAGACTGCACTACCTAGCTCTGTTTCTCTTTTAGACTGAATCAATCTAGTGTAGCCCAGTGTGGCCTTGAACTCACAGAGATCTGTCTGCTTCTACCTCCTGAGTACTGATATTAAAGGTGTGTGCCACCACTGCCTGACCTCTATGGCTAGCTCCACACTCCTATCTTCAGGCAAGCTTTATTTGTTAGATCACAGACAAAATATCACCACTTTTATCTCCCTTTTTTTGTCTAAAATAAAAAAGGTTATAACGAGTATAAGAAAAACTATATACAATAAGTATAATAATGATATATAGTATATGCAGGCAATAAATTCATCAGCAATGTCTAGTCCATAAACATTTGACAAATTTAGAGAAAATACTCTCTATATATCCTATTTTGGTAAGTTCAAAAGGTTGTACCTAATTTGCTTTCTAACCTAACTTGTATTACCATCTAAAACTATCTTTTGATATCTCTCAATCTTATACATTTTACACATCTTTAGTGAATGTTTTTTCTGAATCTGTGAACAAGGAAAATTATAGCAATCTAGTCTTCAACTTCCTCAGACACCTGAGAAGGAAATAATATTAACTGAGTAAGCAAGATGTGCAAACAAGCGACTTCCAAAAAAATGTGAGCAATGACAGAAACAACTAGCTGTCTGGATAGTCACAATTCCTCTGCAACACTGGGGCATCCATCTTTGGCCTACAGGCCTAGCATATCTGACAGACTTTTGTGTGAAGCAGGGTATTCTGAAGGGCTATCGTACCTTATCTTGGCAAAGTTTGGCAGTCACTTTCTCTTGTATCTGTTGTGGGAACACCTTCAGCCAATAGCCTTTAAGATACCAGCCCACTTTGGATGTGGTCTCATGTACTAATTAAGTGCCGATGAAAAGCCTGCATGGCCCTTTTTCTTCTGGATTTGGTTCCAGTTCCTAGCACACACAGAGGACTGCGGATCACTACTATTACTTTGAGTTTATACCCAAATAAATAAACTTTTGTTATACTACTCCATTCCATGCTATTGTGAAACTCATTGGTACAACTACAAATTGGTGCCCAACATCGGGCCAACTACATCCACATAAAACCTGAGAGTGCTTGGGAAGGAATTCCAGACATAAAAGAACAAAGTTAAGTATGACATTGGGTGGGCTCTGCTTGCTAGAGGCAAGCAGAGGTGCACTTCCTTTAAGAGAAGGCTTCCTGACTCAGTGTTAGCAGCAAAAACTACATGGCTCCTTTAAGAAACAGCTCCCTGGTTCATGTTGGTGGCAGAAATGGCTCTGGCTCTTTCTGGAAGTTCTGTTGTAGAGCACTTGAATGGGTTTGTTTAATAGCGGCAACATAAATCCACTGTGTCCCTGGAGCTGGGGCAGTGAGAATGGCTTGCAGAGCTGGTGGTGAATGTATCCCTGCCATGTTGGACCGGATGGAGTCAAAAGGCAAAGCCGTAATCCTAACCACACTACTTAGCTTTTTAAGAAACTTTCCTGGTCAGAAAAGGATTCTGTGTGATGATTCGGATCTGGGCAGCCGGGAAATGTAAGAGCAGTCTCTGCTTACATGTATCCTGCTTGTCCAACTTGTACAGCATTCTGTCAGCAGCTGAAGCAAGGGTACTTTCTTGCCCAGTGGCTAACTTTTTCACAAAGTAAATTCCATATGGAGTTTCTTCCATACCCATCATCTTCTCTAAAGTAGATTGCTACTGTCAGGAGCAGACATGTCATAAAAAAAAAAAAGAAAAGAAAAGAACCTATGTTATTAAAACATTTTAAAGTGCCATATTCTGTAGATCTCTTAAGTATTTGAAGATGATCTGTCTATATAAAATAAATCTCTGTTTGATCTTTAAAACATTCCTGACATGATTACAAGTTTGATTGTAATAGG